GAACAGCACGCAGCTGAAGCAGACTTCCCATGTGCTGCTGGAGATGGGAGGAGCCCGGCCAGGTCGGCATAGGCCAGCAGAAGCGGCAGTGGAGCCATGTGCTGCTCGGGACTGACCAGCGCAGGTAGGGGGAAAATGCAGCTGAGCCCCTGCTGCTCCGGCCAGACTCATCCTGTCCCAAGAGGCACATGGCTACTCCTCTTCCCACATGCATCGTGTCAGCAACGTCAAGCTGACGTGGTGTGTGTGGGAACCTTGTCCCTTCCCCAGCCCTTTAGCAGCCATTAGGAAGATGCTGAGGGGCTGGGGGAGGGACAAGGGGTGGGAACGGAAGTAAACAGTGTTTACTTCCGTTTCCCAAACAGTGTTTACTTCCGTTTCCCATCGCAGCAGCATGGGCCTCAGAAAATGCCTTGGCGGGCCACATGGCAGCCTGCGGGCCATATGTTGGACAAGACTGATTTAGGTGTATAAAATTATGAATGATGTGGAAAAAGTGAATAAATAACTGTTATTCACTATGTCGCATAATACAAGAACTACAGGCATTCTAAGAAATTATCAGGAGGAAGATGTAAACAAACACAATTAAATACTTCTGAATAAAATGCATAATTGACTTGTGAAGCTCATAGCTATGGGATATTCTGTAGTCCCCCACAACTGTAACCTCCGTATGGTGCTATCTCTAAAAGTATTTCTGATAATGACTAGAACAGTATGACAAGGGAGTGGCCACACCATACATCCTGTTTATACTCTTCCTCTAAAGTATTCGCTACTTGGAATTGTCAGAGACAGGATAATGAGCTAGATGGACCTTTGGTCTCATCTAGCATGGCAGTTTTTATAGTTTTATTTTTTTAGAAAAAATGTAAGGGCTGATTGATTTTCTTGTGCGTGTTCCAAATAAAAATAAGAAAAATAATGTTACAATAATAAGTACAATAATGTTATTTCTACAGTGTTTGAGGGATGAAGACAATCAAAATATTGTTAAAATAGGTATTATTGGGTTTTTTGTATTAATGAAAACAGAGCTAAAAAATTGTTCAGTGCTATTTCATTAAGAAAGTGAATTCACAGAGGGAGAGTTGTGAGTACAGGAGGGTGAAATAAAATTTAAATATAACACTCAACAAAAAGAAAAAGAGAGGGGGAAGAGAACCAGGGAGAGAAACTTAGCATAGAAACTTAAGAATCAGAAAGAAAATAGCATATATAAAAATCAAACAAAACTGGCAGTATGCTCAGTGTTGAGAGGGAAGTTTTGTATAGATATGCCAAATAAAGAATTATTCATAAATTGTAAAAACAAGAGAGGTAATTATGATCGCTCACTATGATACTCTGCAGAATACAGGTCATCAAAACTTACTAAATAATTACATAATTTCTACATGACTCTCCATAGCAATACTAATCCTAAGCTTTAAGGCTTTTCCCAGAGGCGAGGTGAAAGTTGCTAGAATTTACTTCACAAAAACATTCCAAATAAAAATTTGAACCCAGACCATAAAACAATATTAACAAGCAAAGACCAGACAATGTTGTTTTGCAAAATGACTTTAACTTGAAAAACTGAACTAGGCAAAAGTGATTTTACTGTGTCATTATGTACAACAGCAATTCAGTTCCAAGAAAAATACAAATTAGAATTGTGAACTGTGACGATACAGAGCCTGAGGGCTGCCACGATGCCCACCAGTGGCCACTTCCATCCTGTCCAGCCCCACTTGAGTCTCCCCAGGTTTCAATCCATTCACTCTCCTGCCATACCTTGATGGTCAAGAAAAATAATAAAGAGAGACTGCCCCTCAGGGTTGGTGAGTCTTTTGGGCGCTCTCTTTTTTGCCCTCAGTCCCTGTTTACTCAGGCTCTGCCAGCCTTAAGGACTAGATTCATGGCCTCCTTCCACCTCTAAAGCCATGCCCATGCCTTGCAGGTGGTACAAATTATCACTGTACTGGGGCCTCACACCTCTCTGCATTGCTTGGTCCGCTGGACACAAAAGCCTTGTTGGGACTTTGGCCTTCCTATACTTGGCCCCCTTCCTCCAGCTGCAACCCTTGGCCCAAGATGTACCATTATGGGTCCCATCCCTGGTCTTGCCCTTTGCAGCCTATGGCTGGCCTTCTAGGTTTCAGGCCGCCCCTATTCTTTTCCCTGGTTCAGGCTTTGGCCCTTCTGGCTTCAGCCTGCCTATGTTCACCCTCACCAGGCTGTGGGCTCTGGCCCTCCCAGCCTCAGCCCCCCCACCCTAACTGACCTCTCTCCCATTTGAGCTATTGGCCCTCCGTGTCTTGTGCCTCTGGTCCCCAGCAAGCACCAAGACCTCCTGCATCTCTTGGACAGCCCTGTTGTTTGTGCCCCTGACTCTGGCAGTACTCAGTAGCATGCCTCTATGGCACCTCCATGGCCTCCTCATCACCCCTTATAACAATACCCAGTTTACCAGTACAAACGGGAACATAAAATAAAGCTATCACTTTAACAAAACCTGCCCTGTTTGGGTAAACAAACATTAGGAACAAAAATTAAGGGAAGCAGTGACTTTAACAAAACCCTCCCCTCCTTGGGGCAAAAAATACACTTGCTCCCTAGGCTCTCACCACTCCGTCTCCAGCATTCTCTGCCAGTCAGTCTCTCCCAGGTTGTTCTATCTCCTCTAGGGAGCTCAGTTCTCCTTTGAGCACCAGCCCAGCTCCTGCGCCGCCCCACCCCCCCCTTTGCTCAGAAAGCGGGTTTTTAAGTGCCTTGGAGCATGGCCCCTTCTAATCAGGTGACTCGCTCTTTGATATAGCGCTGGCTCTTTAATTCTAACATGTGGCACTCCCCAGCTATAGCAGGGCTTTGCCACCTGTGGTCTCTTTGTTAGTAACAGGAGCCTTTGGCTTCCTGTTACATTGACACAAACTTTCTTGACTCAACAAACTTTTAGAACTTTCCAGTGTCCTGATCCAAATTCCATTTAAGTAGAAAAAAAAATCCCCATTAATTGCAATAGCATTTGAATTAGCTTCTTTGGATCATTTATATTTGAGCTAATAGCATGTGGTAGAGATGGTTTGTTAGGGTTTTCTCCCAGAAAAAAATCTAAAAATTACTTGTATAAACACCTTGAATATTTGTTTTACAAAAGTTTGTCTATTTGGCAAAAATGTCTCTTTTCTCAAGAAAGAGAAAACTTACATCAAACAATATAATGAAAGAAAATTTCTAATCTTTACATATCATCTTTATTAAGGAAGTCTGTGAAATCCACTAAACATGTATTATGATTCTGGCACTGCAATTGTATTACTTATATGGCACTACAATTGATTGGCATCTGCTACATAGACATTGCATACTTAAGTTTTCTTAACATATATTTAATAGCCACAGTCCCTCCTTGCTAGTTTATAAGAAGTGGAAAAAGGGCAAATCATAAATTAACATTTTTAGTTGTCAAGAGTGTGTAACTTGGCTGGTCAGTGATTCTGGCAGTCCAAAGGATGCCATGAAGTTTATACAGGTTTTTAATGGAAATAACATTCTAGATTGTAGACATTAAAAACACAATACTGGTGTTGACATGAAAAATCCTTCGAATCTGAAAGTGCAGAAAACATGAGACCCCAACCAAAAGCTTGGATCTAAACCTCCCTGAAATGATTGAATTTGGACTTAGAGCAAAGATTAGCATATACCAATCTTGCAATATTGATATATGGGGTTAAACTGAAGCCTGGCATCCAAATTCACCCAGCCACTGAAAGTTTTGAAATCTGGAAACACATTTTGTGGCTTGGCACCAACTCTAAGGTTCATTTTACCCTTTGTAAAGAATAAACACAATGAATGATTCTACTATACCACTCTCACTTAAATAGTTGTAATATAGAGCTGGGAAAACATAAACAGTACATTAATTCAACCCATTAGCTATTTTGTCCCATTTTGTTTCTCCTTCTGTTTTGCTGTGAAAATGGAGTACCAATCAAAGGCAAAATTAAAAGTTGGAATCCGAAGGGACTTCATGTTATATTAGTGACTAACATTATACTATTTAATGGTTTAAGTATTTTTATTTTGATAAAGTAGTTAGAGCTAATATACCAAAATATAATGTATCTGTTATATGTGGCCAATTTACTTTAAACCAAACCTGTCTTAAATGTATTCGGTGACAGTGGGTTACTAGCACTGTATTTACTACAGAGCAAATCCTGGTTTTGTGTCCACCACCACTGAAGCTGTCCTGAAAGAGAAATCAGCATAGCGTGAAATCTGTTGTACAAGGGTAGAGGTAGGATCCTGTGTAGTAAGGAAATCCACAGGGGCCACCTCTCAACCAGAAAGTTATGCTTTGGATGTGGCATGGTCAAGCTAAATTTCCTTCTCTTACCTGAATGGGGAATGGGTGTTATCTCTGTTTCAGCATTGCAGCAGCAGTTACAGACCGCTCTACAGACTGAAAAGGATAAATCCCATACTACCAGTGTGGATTTTTCCCTGTGGATACATTAATACTGCAGAAAACTCCATTATCTGTATTTCAGAGCTTATGGAAAGTTTCAGAACTTCACTCTCTATTGCTTCCATCTGAAGGATTTAAATAATTTTCTACTGCTCACTTTTTCCACTTCTTCACACTTTATATTTGATTTATAGGACCTGGGTCACAGCAAAGAACCAGAAGCTTCAGTGACTTACATCTGCTTTACATACACACCCTTCCTTTGTGTGGTATAAATTAAGACAATATGTGAAACACTGGTGCTGTATCCAGTTGCTTGTGTGAGTGGTGCCTGTCTTACAAATGCAGATATACTAATCAAGTCATTAAAAACATACTGATAATGATAGCAACTGACTTTTTTGTTTACCTTGAAGATACATTTCTTCTCCTTCTGCAAACATCTGACTGCACCTGACACATCGTGCACACGTGGGGTGATAGTGTTTTTCTCCTGCCTGTTGGAAAAAAAATACAGCTAAATTATGTGCAATGTTTAGGCAGTCCTGCCGATCCTAGGTAGTGCTGTAATTAATGGACTGATTGCACTTTAGATGTCCAATTCATTCTTCTTCCAAGTCATTTTCTTTCAAACTAGAGAACAATAGTAATTCCAGTAAATTAGTTACTAATAGAATAATAGTAAATAATATTATTGGTAAATAATATTATTAAAACAACAATGCTGATTTTGGTTATAGAAAATTCACCCTTGAAAATGAAGTCATGAACTTGTCTGCTTATAGAAGTTAGTGCACAGTAAACTTGGATGTGAATTGATAGTTTTCCATAATAGCTCCTGCTATGAACAGCTTTAGTGTGCACAAATTGCAGGATAGTATAGGATGTGCCTGCATGGGGAAGTTAATGTATAGTAAACTGTGATGCGTATTCACTGCACATTAGCTTCCCAGCCCACATGGGTGAGCTCATAGATGGATCGAAGATTTTTGCAAGAGGGAGTAGAGATGGTGTGGTGCCGCTTCATATATAACATAAGCTACAGAGCATATCTTTTTCTCTAGTTAAAAAGAAAATAGACACTTTACTAATAAGGGACCTAGGGCTACATTACTCAGTTTAAGATTGAAATAAAAACAACTATAACTTTATTGGAATGTGTATTAATTTGCTATATCATGTATTATGTATAAAAACACAACAAATTAGGCAAAAATAATCAAGAGATGTTGTTTCATTAATCCTGTAGTCATTAAAATCAGATATAACTCTTTTTCAGACTGATAAAGCAAAATCTAGTATTCCTGAGTGTCTTGATAGTGCATCCAATGCTACACTGGATGCATCTACATGTGTAGTTTATTATGGAGCTGACTAATTAGCTCCAAAAGAAGGAATCACTCTCTACATGAGTGCTGATATTAGGGCACACTAGATTAATTAACTCTGCCATAAGATAGTACTGTTGGGGACAGTACTATGTTATGGCCAAGTAACTAACTGCTGAAACACTCTTGTAGTTGGTGACTGGGGCTGGCTGCAGCATGAAGGAGCTAAAGTGTGGGAGCTGCCTGCCATTCAGACCCACACTTTAGCACCCTTGTGCCAAGGCCAGCTCTTCATCCCAACACTGGCACCCAGAGCCTGGGGCTGAACCCTGAAGACCCCTGCCCACCCAGAGCTTCTCTGCCCCGGCTCTCATTGCTGTGGTCCTGAGTGCACGTGAAGATACTGTGCACGGGAGCAGCTGACTCCAGCGCAAACTGCACCAGAGTTTATTCAGTTTATTATGCACTAATTTCATGTGTAGATACACCCACTAAAAGGTACTTTTACACTTGAGTTAATAATTTTAGCTAGAGATAAAAACAGCTTGCAGGGCTTTGAAATAGGAGCTACATTACCAGGAGCAGCTAACACACAGTAGAACTGCAAAAGAAAGGATAGCCTAATTAGTGGATCATCAGCATTAAAAAGGAGAGAGGGTCATTAACACCTGTGAAATGAATCCTTTAGAAAGAATTGGGTAGATTATAATGAGCCATGACATCAAGTGACTCCCTCACTGCTGCCTGATTAGAAATGCTGCTGTCACTGCTAGTCAGCTTGTTTTAAACTTTGGGTGGATCAGGAATCACAGGGTGGTGCAACTGCACCATTCCTGCCCCCCTTCCCCTTCACATGGATCTGCCCCTGGAGCCACTTTCATGTGCACAAAGACCTCCTTTGTGCAAAACAGTGTATTTCACTTTCCAGTTACAGTACACTACCTCACACTTAGGGCACTTGTACACATGAAGGTGGGGCCATGTACAGGTGACAAAGTGACGAGAAATCATCATTTGTCTAGCATAATGATGCCACTGCAGAGGGAAAGACTGGGGCACAGCCACCATGGAAGGAGGTACCAGGGCCCCCCGCAGCTCAGGGGCTGCTGGCAGCTCAGCCCCTGACCACAGGAGAGGTGGGTGGGCTTCCATCACAGTGATGGAAGCCCCTAAATTGAAACAGTGGGTCATAATTAAAACCCCCCAAATTAAAAACCCACCCTTTCAATTTAGGGGAACTAAACCCCCCTCATGTGCTCCTAGTGCACACTGAAAATATGTCTCTGCTACACCTTACTGTGACAGACTGTATATGCTCCATAAGTACTTGCTTTTGAACCATAAGTAGTGTAGCTGCACTAGTGCTGCATTCTTTGCATGCTAATAAGCTCTGCTTCTCAGACCTCTGATTGGATGTTTGTTGTTGGGAATGAGCGCAGCGTTACTGGGGCTACACTACCTTCTGCTTGGGAATTACTGAATATAGGCCTGGCACTGTGGCAAGGGACAGAAGTTACACATAAACTAGTTTAACTACTCAGAAACTGGTTTAAACCCGTAACAAAACAGAAGTTCAGTGCACATAAACCAATTTGAAAATGGCCGAAACTGGTTTAAGATAAACCTGGTTGAATGTAGTATCAGACTTAACTGATTTGGGTCAAACCAGTTTATGGAACTTGTGTCCCAGATACCTTCCTGGTTTAAGTTAAACCTCAGCATCCCAGCATCCCCACATGCTCTGCAGCCTGGGAGCGGGTGGATTTCCCCAACTTCCTCCTTCTCTGCCAGGGAATTAACCCAGCTGCCAGCTGGGGCAGGAGAATAAAGCCCCAATGCCCTCTTCTGGGCCTAGGGTGGGCATTTCCTACCCCTGCATCAGCTGGCGGGGGCAGCGGGGACTGGCTTCCAGGTTGGGACAAGACCCACGTGGGCAGCAGCTCTGGTCAGGAGGCACTGGACAGCTGATGCTCTGACACGGTCCCAGCAAAGTGGCAGTCCTAGGGGCTGTGCTCACTTGGCGGCTCCTGGGACAGCAGGAGGGGTCTGGAGTCAGGGTGGGAGAGGGAGGGGAAGGGATTTTTCCTCCCCACTCCCTTCTCAGAGCAATGTTGCCGGGTGATTGGCTCAGGTCTCAGCTGCAGGGAAGCCTGCAGTCCCACCTGAGCTAGGAGCCAGCACGATCACCCTGGCATGCCCCCCCCTTCCGTGATCAATGGGCCAGCTGAGAAGGAAGTGTGGGGGGAAGAGCCCCCCATTATGGGCTTACCACCCCCTGTGCTGGGCACAGCCTGGCTGAGGAAGTGGTCACTGTCGCCCAGGGGGTCAAGCACCCGCAGCCCCCTCACCAGGTTGTCGCCCGTGGCCAACACCAAGTCCAACAAGGCATCTCCCCTGGTGGGGCTGTGCACCTCCTGGGTTAGGTGAAGGTCCTGGACTCTCTCCAAGAACCTGCATGCACGCTCGGACCTGGCCGACTGCTCAGCCCAGCAGATGTCTGGGAAATTCAGGTCCCCCATGACTACCACATCCCTAGCTTTTACTACCTCAGTGAGCTGACCCAAGAATTCCTGGTCAAGCTCCTCTGCTTGGGTAGGGGGTCTATAGTAGACTCCCACCAATAGGTCCCTTTCCCCTCTTCTGCCTTGAACCCTAACCCAAAGCACCTCATGTGTATCATGTGTAAATGAAGAAAATTTATCTGTCAGATGGTAAATCTTTTTGCTGAACAATACAGTGAACTAAATGATGAAAATAACAGCATGGTAAAGGGCTAGCAATACTTCTTTTTAGCTACCAAAAATGTAAAGTTTAAATCTGACTTTTGATTTTATCTGTAGGGAGCATCACCGTATCTGGTGATTGATATTTAGCTATATTTCAGTTTAGTCATTTTTACTGCTTTTTTGAACTTAATTCTCCAAGGTGCTAAGTAATTTCTGTAATGCTAGAAATGGAGGGTACTCCAACCCTGATATCTCAGTGCCGTAATGTATCATAACAGATGTATCAGAAACATAGAGTTTTAATATTGCTTGTATGATTACACTTTAGAGCACAGTGGTGATTTAACTGAAACTGGATACACTTAAACTTGTAGTTTAAAGCCAATATAAGTCCATGTCTCTTGAAAGATTGGTGTTATGTGGGCAAATGCTAATGGAATGCACAATCTTAGTAATCTAATTGATTCTGCTAACAATTTCCACCCTAGCTAAAAATATCTAAGTGAATTCAATTATCTTTTGCGCAAAGAAATTATCAAAGTAAGTTCTGAAATACCTTTCCCAAATTTCAAGACTAATTAAATGCGTAATTTCAGTCCCCTCACATGTGCAATAGCTAAATTCTAATTAGTAGCTATGAAAAGAAAACAGAGACCTCTCTTTTCATCTTACTTATCACCAGAGTAAAAACATCCAAGCCAAAAGATGATAAAGAGCCTAATTCTGCATAATTCCACTGGATAATGGATACTTAATGTGCATAATTCCATTGGATTCTATAGGATCACTCCTGAAGGACACTATTTTCTATATGGTCAAATGAGCTGCAGCATAGATTTCAGTTAAAACTCAGGAAGAAAAACCTCCAAAAAACAAGTTTCCCAAATTTCCTCACTCTGAGAACTATAGGAAAATAGAACTAGATGACCCGTGAAATTCCTTCTGGTTCCATGATTCCATAATAACTTTTTTGTAGAATAGTATTTAAAGAATAGAGAGTGTTTTGTCATTTGTTTTGATTTATATGAATCTACATCACCTGAAGTATTTAAATAAGACTGAAAGTCTTTCTAAAGAGTAGGCTCTAGAGATGCAGTAGCTATGTACTTGAGGCAGGGATTATTAAGTAGAATCTTATGGCATAGGTTATAAAGTTGGTCGCACTAGATTCTCATAATGATTCCTTTGCCCTTGGAGTTTATAGACTCTTTTCCATAAAGAGTTGTTGTCTGTTGCTGTGAAATCTCTTAAGACTCTCACAAGACTAAATTGTGTTGTTGAAGTATACAATACATTATGTTAGGACATATTTAAGAGATAAATGAACAATTTTAAATAATGTCATGCTATTTAGACTTTACACCTGTATAGTAAGCTAACAGTTTGTTTGTATTATTTAAACAGACATAATAGAATGACTGCAAACAAAGTTCTAAAGACTCA